AAACAGCTGTTTTGCGGCTTCAAAACGGCCGCGGATGACCCGAAATGGCCCCGCACGGCGTTTTCGCGCCCTCCCCTCGCTTGCCGAGGGCGCGAAAATGGCTGCCCGGGGCCAGGAAACTTCTCTAAGTGGGAAGTTTAGGGCCGATTTGGAACACATTAAATGAAGTTTAATGCGTTCCAATGGCTTTTTACTTCCCGCTTAGCGAAGATTTCACATAGCGAAGGTTAATCCAGAACGGATTAACCTCGCTATGCGGGGCACCACTGTAATTTGTTCTGCTTTTTTGTTAAGCCATGAGGAAATGTTGAGGACTGAGTCTCTCTTTTTTTGTTTCTTCTAAAGATGGAATGTTTCTATGATACCATAATATTTAGTACAGAAATTTACAGAAACTAAAAATGTTACAGAACTATTGCATATAATTTGCTTATTTTAGGTATGGGAACTAGAAACAGGACAAGTAATATATCAGATCAAGGATGCCCACGGACCTAGTGTGGAGGTGACATGTGCAGCAATCGATAAAAATGGATTTCACCTTGCCACTGGAGCATGTGATGGTACAACAATGAAATAATCATGGGCTATAATACCTCTAGCTGGATTGCTTACTGGACTGCAGTGCCTGCTGCTTTGAGTTCAAGTCCTCTGTGTGGCTTTTGACAATTTGCACAGACTCAAAGCTTCTCCAAAAGGACTGGTGAACCACTTCTGAGTGCTTTATAACTGGAAAACCTGAGAAGTGGTGCCATAATTCAGAATTAATTTGACGGCACCCAATGATTTATTATCCTGTTAATAACTGTATTTAAAGCAATTCAACATTTTGTGATGATCCGTATGAGAGTTCTTAATTCAAACCTGCTTTCAATCTATATTCATAACGAAGGCCAATTGGATGGTGCTTCATTTATTGCATGGAGATATTGGTTGCCCACAAACACTTATGTGTGATACAGACTCTTAACATTTTAAGTGGTTTCCTGTGTCACAATGGCCCCAAGCTCTAAATAGAATGGGAGATAATCAGGGCCACGTCTCACAGGAACCTCACTTCAGCTCAGCCCAGCCTTTATATTAAAATATTTTCCCAAACAATGAGGGAGGCTCACAATGTGGAATGCCCCAGGCTTCAGCTTTGCTCTCTGAGGGTCTGCATGGCCCAGTCATGAGATATATTCTATGTCAGTGCCAGTGACTCATAGGAAAGTGGAGCAGTGGAATGAAGACTTTTCACACCACAGGGGAAGGATTTGACCACTACTCTCAAAGGAAAAGTGCAGGACTAACTATTGGCTGAAATCCTGTTGCTTAGTATAGTAAATTGCATTAGAGTAGGCTGATTGAATCATTGTGGATTTTCTGAGTGAACTTCTCTTTTAAGTTCCTTTGATTTAAACAGGCCTACTCTAGTTGCAGTTTACTGCGATAAAGTAAGTTGCAACTAGCATTTGAATCAACTGAACTTAAGGAGTTGCTGACTCACCAAATACTCACGGATTCAGTGGGCCTACTCTAGTGAACATAAGCAATAGGATTTCAGTCACTATCAGTGAAATGCTGTACTCGATGGCCTGCACTCCTTCTATGTAGTGAATTCTACAATGCTCATGTAATTGATAATTTAAAAAATACACCCCATGTAAAAGGTAGACCCGGTATAATGTGCTAACGTTTTCCTGGAGTTGTGCCACCTCATAGACTCAAAGCCCATTTAATAACAACAACAACAACTATAACAACAATAATAACAATAACAATAACATCATCATCATCATCATCATCATCATCATCATCATCATCATCATCATCAACAACAACAACAACAACAACAACAACAACAACAACAATAATAATAATA